AATGTATACAAATTGGTAGCACTTCTATGCACCAACATTGACCAAGCAGAGAATTAAATCAAGAACTCACCCCCTTTTACAATAGCTGCAAAAAACAAAACAAACCAACAAAAAACTTAAGAATATACCTAAGAAAAGAGTCAAAAGACATCTACAAGGAAAACTACAAAACACTACAGAAAGAAATCATAACACAAACAAATGAAAACAGATCCTATGCTCTGGATGGGTAGAATCAATATTGTGAAAATGACCATACTACCAAAAGCAGTCTACAAATTGAATGCAATCCCCATCAAAATACCACCATCATTCTTCACAAAGTTAGAAAAACCAATTCTAAAATTCATGTGGAACCAAAAAAGAGCCTGCATAGCCAAAGCAAGACTAAACAAAGAGAACAAATCTGGAGGCATCACACTACCTGATATAAACCTATACTATAAGGCTATAATCACCAAAACAGTGTGGTACTGTTATAAAAAATAGGCACATAGACCAATGGAACAGAATAGAGAACCCAGAAATAAACCCAAATACTTAATAGCCAATTGATCTTCAACAAAGCAAACAAAAACATAAAGTGGGGAAAGGACATCCTTTTCAACAAATGGTGCTAGGGTAATTGGCTAGCCATATGTAGGAGAATAAAACTGGATCCTCATCTCTCACCTTATACAAAAATCAAGTCAAGATGGATTAAGGACTTAAACCTAAGAGCTGAAACTATAGAAATTCTAGACGATAACATGGGAAAATCCCTTCTAGACATTGACTTAGGCAAGGATTTCCTGATCAAGAACCCAAAAGCAAATGCAATAAAAACAAAAATAAATAGCTAGGACCAAATTAAACTAAAGAGCTTTTGCACAGCAAAAGGAACAGTGAGCAGAGTAAACAGAGTGGGAGAAAATCTTCACCATCTATATGTCTGACAAAGAACTATTATCCAGAATCTACAATGAAGTCAAACAAATCAGAAAGAAAAAAAAAATCCCATCAAAAAGTGGGCCCAGGATATGAATAGACAATTCTCAAAAGATGATATAAAAATGGCCAACAAATACATGAAAACAATGCTTAACATCACTAATGATCAGGAAAATTCAAATTAAAACCACAATGCGATACCGCCTTCCTCCTGCAAGAATGACTGTAATCAAAAAATCAAAAAACAGTATGTGCTGGCATGGATGTGGTGAACAGGGAACACTTCTACACTGCTGGTGGGAATGTAAACTAGTACAACCACTATGGAAAACAGTGTGGAGAGTCCTTAAAGAACTAAAAGTAGAACTACCATCTGATCCAGCAATCCTACTACTGTGTATCTACCCAAAAGAAAAGAAATCATTATTAGAAAAAGATACTTGCACACACATGTTTACAGCAGTACAATTCACAAGTGTAAAATCATGGAACCAACCCAAATGCCCATCCAGCAAGAATTGGATAAAGAAACTGTGATATATATATCACATACACACACACACACACACACACACACACACACACTATGGAATGCTACTCAGCCATAAAAAGGAATGAATTAATAGCATTTGCAGCGACCTGGATGAGATTGGAGACTATTACTCTAAGTGAAGTAACTCAGGAATGGAAAACCAAACATCGTATGTTCTCACTGATATGTAGGAGCTAAGCTATGAGGATACAAAGGCATAAGAATGATACAATGGATTTTGGGGACTTGGGGGGAAGAGTGAGAGGGGGACAAGGAACAAAAGACAACAAATATGGTGCAGTGTACACTATTCCAGTGTTGAGTGCACCAAAATCTCACAAATCACCAGTAAATAACTTACTCATGTACGCAAATACTACCTGTACCCCGATAACTTATGGAAAAATAAATAATAAAATAAAAACTAATTTAAAATATAAAACATTTTATATGTGCTATGAAATCATATCTCCTTGATCCTAAACTGTGAGGATAAATTATGGAACTTAAAGGTATGACCAGTTATCTTCTAGATGTGAACCATCCTTCAAATCTATCCCCTCTAGGCCATACCCACAAACAAGAATCCCTTGTACCACCTGTCATCCAGATTAACTTGTCTATATCAATATCAAATTCACGGCATTTTAATGAAGTAATTGTTTACTGAAGACATTTTGAGTAGATTATTTTTCTCATTAGTATATTCTTCTTTCCTTTATCTCAATGAATGGCATCACCACCTATTTATTCAGTTTTCCAAATTAATAATCTGGGAGGAATTCTTGGCTCCTCATTTCTCATCACTCCTGCATTCTATCAGCCTAAGTCCTACTGAAGCTATATCCTAGATATCTTTAGATCAGTCGATTTAACTTCATCCCACTGCCCCTAACTTTTTCAGACCAAATCTATCTCTTTGCCAAATACTGAAATAGTCACTTTATCTCCCCTTCTCCACTTTGATCCCTGCAACTCAAATTTTATCATTTATCCCCTCTGCTTAAAACCCTTCCACTGGCCTGTATTTACCTAAGTTATTAAACTGGCTCATAAGGCTCTTAATAATCTGGCCCTTCATTTCTTTTCCAACCTCAACCATCACCATTTGTGCACACCAGTATTCTACACTCTTTCCGGTTCTGCGTCAAGAATATATGCCCATGCCATCTACATTACTTTCAACATTCTCTGTCCTGACCTCGTCAAGCAGCCCCTCCACCTGCTCAAACATCAGAGCTCTGCTTGCACCTTCTCTGTAAGAAGTCTCCATTAACTGCACTGTCAAAAATGGCTTAGGGGCCCTTCCCCACGTGCTCCACCAGCAGCCCTGCCACATGCTATGGTAACTGCTTTCCCACATTCATGCCATCCTCTTGTTTCCTTCATCACATCTAATATTAATTCTTATTCTCCTTCTTTAATATTTTTTATTTTCGAGACGGAGTTTTGCTCTTGTTACCCAGGCTGGAGTGCAATGGCGCCATCTCGGCTCACGGCAACCTCCACCTCCTGGGTTCAGACAATTCTCCTGCCTCAGCCTCCTGAGTAGCTGGGATTACAGGCACACAACACCAGGCCCAGTTAATTTTTTCTATTTTTAGTAGAGACGGGGTTCCACCATGTTAACCAGGATGGTCTCGATCTCTTGACCTCGTGATCCACCCGCCTCAGCCTCCCAAAGTGCTGGGATTACAGGCTTGAGCCACCGAGCCCGGCCCTTTCTTTACTCTTATAAGGATGCTTCTGATTACAGTGGGGCCCTCCTGGATAATCCAGATAACCTCTTCATTTCAAGATCCTTAATCACTTCTGTAAAGTCCCTTTTACCATGTAAAAAGCCACAGCTTCTGGAGCATAGGACATGGGCTTCTTTGGGCACAGAGGGCCATTATTCAGTCTATTCAAGGTGATGGTTGGGAAGCAGAGTGGGTAGAGCATTCTAGGCTGAAAGAACAGCTCATGCAAAGCCTGAGATAAGAAACACAGTGCACTCAGATCCTGAAAGAAAACAATGTGGATAGAACCCAGACAGAAAAAAAAGTTATGAGATGAGAAGAGAGACATAAAAATGTGCCAGATGGTATACAGGCTTGTTTCCATGTTGAGAACCTTGGTTCCAAACATAACAGCAATGAGAAGCCATTGGAGTCCATCATGCATTGGGAGTGATATAAGCAGATTTATATATTTTTAGAAGATCACTCTGGCTTCAGTGTAAAGAATGGACTGGAGATGCCAAGGGTGGGAGTGAAGGGAAATTTCATTTACATTTCTGGAAAATGTCAGAGAACATACTTTCATAACTCTAGACATCTCATGTGAACTTCAGTATTATCAATAATACTACTACATGATAATAAAATTTCTTTACGTATTTTATTGCTTACATTTCACAGATTCTTTCTTAATACTCATGCCACTCTGTGATGGAGTACAAATCCTCACAGGCAAGTGAGATGACTATGGATCAAAATGTTAACTATCTTGCCAAAAGTGGTTCATGCAAATAGAAGCTGAGCCAAAAGTAGACCAAGACTTCAATACTTTTATACTTTGATTTACATTGCTTTTCTCCTGAGAAGGGACTTTTTAGCAAACCCAGTTTTCATTATGCAAGTTTGATGAATTTATAAACTGGTTCTCTATTACTTTTCCGTTTTCCAGGCAGGAAACCAGAAGCCAATGAATTAATGAGTTTATCTCATCATGATAGTTGACCATCACTATCATCCTTGTATCACTTTAAAATACTTCTGTATAGCATGGGTCAACTTACATTCTATACTCACTGGTCAAAGAAAGAAAAATAATTTCTCAGAATTGTTGCCTCATTTGCAGTTAGAAGAATGGTGACAATTCTCTGTAAGATAGACAGCTTGAAAAAAAAAAGTGAGCTTTTTGCCTTGCCTTTTCCCCAGCAGGCTCCTTGCTGCTCCCTGCTCAGCATAACAGACCATTAAACATGTTGGATCTAATGTAATGACTCATGTCGCATGTTCGCTCTTTCCCATCACATTAATCACCAGTTGCTGTAATATCCTGTTTGTTAAAACTAAGCAATAATGCAAATCCTCATAACAGCAACCCTCAATTAAACAGAATTTGTTTCCCTTGCACCTAAGCACAATGAGAAAGAATCAAATGACAGTGAAACATGCTACTGGTCATTTTAAAGAAGCAAGAAAAAAATAAAATACTTTCAGTTGCTGACATGGGGCCAGGAAACTGTGAATTAATTATGTAAGAAAGTCGGGAAAGACAAAAACTCCAATTCTTGAATTTGCCATTAAAGACATGTCCAGTTACCTACTAATTTCATTCACTAATTCATTCAATCACTCAAACCAGGTTAAAAGACAGATATTGAGCACATAGTGCAATGTCAAGACAAAAGACAAGAGCAGAGACAGTCTCTGCTGTCAAAGTGCTCCCACTGTGCCATAGAAAAAAAGCACTCCACTACCCAGTATGCTGATTACAAAACGGCACAATTTCAACCCAAGCTAATATAAATAAAAAAGAGAAACGATCATACCTTTGAAAAGTTCCATTGTCTTGGGCATTTCTAGATTCAGATATTCAAACATCCAACTGAATTCTGTCTCTCTCCATCACAAATTATGCTTTTTTTTAATGTTGGTTTTTATTTTTGTTCTTTGGTGGCAAAATCAGCTCCAACCACTCCAGACTTCCATTCCACCACCCTGGCAACACCATGGAAAGGGGAACATCCCGTTTCTAATCGTTCCAGCAAACATATCAGACTTGACTCATCAGGGTTATTATGTGTATCCTTTTCTGAACCAATCGCTGGTCAAGGACATGGTATTGCCAATGGACCAGTCATCTCCCCTGCCACCCCAGGCAGGAAGAGTGGTTTGCCTCACTTAAACTGTATTAACTGACAGTGTTAACCAAATAAATAAATGAATGAAAGTGCTCATCCCAAACAAACAAAAAAAAGCAATAAGAGCCATAAGGAGTTACAGGTTAGAGGAGTGTGAACAAAATACAGGGAGGACATGGAGGAGCTGAGCTAAATCTATGGGAGGGGAATCAGAAAAGCCTTGTCATGCTTGAACTGGATCATGAAAGGTAAGTAGGTGTTTGCTCCGCAGACAAGGAGTTTTGCTTCCTGAGCAAAAGCATTGAGCCATGAAACATTTTTACATGCTTGGGGAAGTATAGGATATTCTGCATTAGACCACACTTTACCTCCCCCATCTCTCCTGTCCCTGGATCTTCACAGATATGCCCACTTACAGTTCCTCTACTCAGAGGTCTCTACCTGCTCCAGGTTCTGAGCTGACACCCAGAGAAATATGCATGCTCCCAGCACCAAAAGCCACAACCACAAGAAAGAGGGTGGAGCTTGGGGGCTGCTTCTTGAGACACATTCACTGCCAAATCCACAAGATGAGCTTTCTGGTTCAGTCGATTCTTTTTCTACACCCAACTACAGATACTACTGAGCTGCTATTATGGGGCAGACTTCATTCTAGGCCATGGCTCATAAGGCTTCACAGAGGTTAATTTCTAGTTGGACGGGAGCAGACAAACACATAATAAATAAATGCATATGGTCATATCATAAAGTTGTTATAAGAATAGTAAATCAGTTGGGTAATAGAATACAGATTGGAGAGAGGCAATTAGTAAAAGGAATGGCTACGTCCATGAATGTGGCTAGACGGGGTCCAGGAGCCAAGTTTTGAAGTGAGAAACCACATGAAGCCATGCACAAACCTTGGGCAGAACATCATTTCCAGCAGAAGGCTAAAAGTGCAACGCCCTGGGGTTGAAGCAAGCTTTGGCATGTGTGAGAGCTGAAAAGAGAATCTCTCTGTCATAACCCTGCAAAATCAGAGCTTTAGGCTGAACCCCAATTCATACTGAGGACCCAAATTTTTGCCATCACATCTTCAAAAGCAAGCTTCTTTCTTCAAGAGCAACAGCTACCCTTTATTAAGCATCCTCTGTATTCTAAGACCATATTTTTTTTTAACTGTACTCACATTGTCACTGAATCTCAGAACTCTGAAAGGTAGATTCTATTGTGTCTGCCTTAGAGCAGTTGAGAAATGTGCTCAAAGTCATAGGGCTAAAGAGTGACTAGCCCAAGATTTACATGGAGACCCCAAAGTTCATATTTTTCATCCTGCTTCATCTCTACTGGAATAAACTATCTACATGCCACATCAAATGATGGAAAACATACTGCAAATTCTTCCCAAAGGCTAAATATAGAGAACTCTCACTCCTGAATCTTGGCTTATTACAGTTGCTATCAGGAGAAAAGTATTCTAATAAAGGCTCAAATTATAGAAGAGACTGTATTCAAAATCTAATCCTACTAAAATTGCATGCAAATAGGTTCTTAAGACAATAATGGAGAATGCAACCAGCCCGACCACAAAAGCACACTGTTCTTTGGAAGCCCACATTGTTTTGTTTTGTTTTCCTAAGAAAATTGATAGTAAAATGTACTGTCTCCTATTTTAATCCTGGAGAAATAGGCACAGAAAATGTGGTGAGTACATGAAGGTACTATAGTTATTTTTCAATCTTTGTCCTTTGTCAAGAGCAAAGATTGAGAAATAAAAGGGTAGTCAAATAGCTCACTCTTTGTTCTACAGCAGCATTTTAAATATGTTTTAAAGAACATCTATCTCTAAAGATTGTCCATGGAAAGTGGAGGCAGGGAGTAGAAAATTCTGTGTCTAAGTTTGGGAATTTATGCATCTACGTTTGAAGATTCAGGCTGAGAGGTCCTACAATAAATAAATCTCTTTCACTTTGCTAAATCCATCATTGTTCAAAGTTATCTAACTCTAGAATGCCCCTTTTGGTGACATATAGCTATATTTCCTGAACCAGAATTCCTTAGAATCTGCTTGGTAAAATGTTGGTCTATACCAGTTTAGACAAATAATCTTTCTCCTATCTCACTCTGGTGGAATATTTGCAATAGAAGCCCCGATCTGTTCACACTGCACTGTCTTCTTGCTATTGGTGGCCAACCCTCCCCTGACTCATCCTCTACCCCACTCCAAACACACAAACCATGAACGTTACCATGGGACTTGCATTGCCCAATAGGACAACACTAAACACATGCAAGCATACACTTGAAAAAGCTTGCACTGTCTTGATGTTCTTGGAGCTCCTGTTACCTTCTCCACGTGAAGAAGTCGAAGCTAGATTTCTTCATGTGAAAGAAGCACCTCTTCATTTGCTGGTTCCATGTGAAATCACATGAAGCAAAGACCAGCCATCCCCTCACAGGTCTCTTCCAGACCAACCAGCCCCCGGCCAACCTGCCAACTGACCAGAGACAGGTGAGTGAGCTCCAGCTGAGACCAGCAAAGGAATTATCCAGCTGAGCCTGGCCCAAGTTGCCAGACCACAGAATTGTGAACAAAAAAAAAAGAATTTTCACTTTAACTACTAAATGTTAGGGTAGTTTATTATCAGAAGCAAAAGCTAACTGATACACTTACTATTAATAACAGAAGAGTTTTAGCCCTGTGTGCTGAAAAAAAAAATCTTAAGGAAAATAAAGACCTTTTGGCTTCTTTATTATATGTAATGCTTTTTGGGGGCCACAATATTATCTCCTGTAATGTTTTTTAAATGAAATCCAAATGTTATCACAGATCCCTCTAATAGAGGAAGATGCACCTGAATTGTAGATTTTCAATTAGTGACAACTGGAATTATCTTGAAAGCTCACAAAGGTGTTTACCTTGATCACACACCAACCTCCTTTCATGGACTAATATACTCCCCTTTGTCAAAACAAACATGGGCTCCAATTATTATTAACCAGGTAAATGCATTACAATTTTTAAGTGGCTTCTAACCCTCATAGATGATTCTGATCCAGGGAATCTTAAAATTAATAAACCGTGAAAGGTGTATCTTTGGTCCTTGTTGGATGAAAATAAACATTAATAACCTACTGATGAGTCATTAATACATCTCAATAGTAAGAAGTAAAACAACACTGTTACTTTCACTAGGAGAAAAGCAGTTAATTAAGTTGGTAGTGAGGGTCATATTGCTGGAACCTGGGCTTATGAGGAACCACAAACTTGAGAAGTTTATTAAATAATGAATAATATTTCCATCAGCTATAATAAAACTTTTAAAAAATGATAACCAAAATGGCAAAGTGGGAGTTTACAGGGTAGACAGGGGAAACAGCAGCTCAGAATGTCTTCCCAGACATGTCTGCCTTCCCGGTACACACTGTGAAAACGTGATTCCCAACTCATTAGGGAGCAAAGGGACAAGTGGAGAGGAATGCTAATTATACATTAGCTCAGTTAGCTAAATTCAGATGGGGTAATATCACATGGACTGATGGAATAAGCCATAAAATTTTAAATTCCAGGCAGACTACTGCAAATGGCTTTTAAAGAAGCAAACCAATTCCATTCTCCAAAAACCACAGACTGGAAGATGGGAATTATCCATTTAAGCAGAAAGGCAAAATTCACTCTGAAGAAGTTGATAATCAGTTGGTGAAATCTTCAGAAACTAAGGGTAAAGGTCATCTCCAAAAGAAATGTATAGAAATGTCCTTACTATATATATAATTAATGCTGAGGTCCAGGGGGGTAGATCAAATGAAAACTGGGAATTCAAGTGGGAGGAGACAAAAAATTACGTAGCAGATATTCCTAGGCATTAAAACAATCACTTTCCTTTGTTGTAAAAATAGCACACTTTATCCATTCTATTGTTGATGGACATGTGGATGGTTTCTATTCTGTGATACTACAAGCAGTGCTGCTGTCAGCTCTTATGTGTTTCCTGGTGCACAGGTGCCAGAGTTATATTTATGGCTGTGGTGCTCATTAAAATCACCTGTGGAATCTTTACTAGCTACTCATGCTCTGCCCCCATCACAGAGTAATTGAACAACTAATCAAAATACATGGATGGAGGTGGAGGTGATGGGAGGATGGGATGGGAGGTGGGATGTCAAGGTTTCTTTTCCAACATTTAATTTTTAAATATTCAAATTTCATCAATAGTTTTGATATGGTTTAGCTCTGTGTCCTCACCCAAATCTCATCTTGAATTGCATTCCCCTAATTCCCAGGTCTTATAGGAGGGACCCAGTGGGAGGTAATTGAATCATGGCGGAAGTTTCCCCCATATTGTTCTTTTTTTAAAATTTTTTTATTGCATTTTAGGTTTTGGGGTACATGTGAAGAACATGCAAGATAGTTGCATAGGTACACACATGGCAGTGTGATTTGCTGCCTTCCTCCCCTTCACCTATATCTGGTATTTTTCCCCATGCTATCTCTCCCCAACTCCCCACCCTCCCCGTCCCTCCCCTATTCCCCCTAACAGACCCCAGTGTGTAGTGCTCCCCTCCCTGTGTCCATGTGTTCTTGTTGTTCAACACCCACCTGTGAGTGAGAACATGCAGTATTTCATTTTCTGTTCTTGTGTCAGTTTGCTGAGAATGATGGTCTCCAGGTCTACCCATGTCCCTACAAAGGACATGAACTCATCATTTTTGATGGCTGCATAATATTCCATGGTGTATATGTGCCATATTTTCCCTGTCCAGTCTATCATTGATGGGCATTTGGGTTGATTCCAGGTCTTTGCTATTGTAAACAGTTCTGCAATGAACATTTGTGTGCATATGTCCTTATAGTAGAATGATTTATAATCCTTTGGATATATACCCAGTAATGGGATTGCTGGGTCAAATGGAATTTTTATTTCTAGGTCCTTGAGGAATTGCCACACTGTCTTCCACAATGGTTGAACTA